AGGTTCCTGTATTTGCAACCTTTGGTCTAATCTAAAGAGAAAGGCCTCTGTACCCAGGCTTGCAGTCCCTCGTACCCAGAAGCCCCTCAGGAAATGCAGGATGACCTAAAAGAACTGACCTGATACTCCTCCTCGGTAAGGCCCTCAGCCAGGGCATGCTGGCGCAGCTGGTCTGGGTCCTGGGCACGGAAGAGGCGGCTGAGCAGGGCATAGATGTAGGGAGCCTCAGGGGAGGTCTGCAGCAGCACAGCCAGGCCTCCGTACCAGGCGGCCCGGGACAGATGGTGGGCATACAGGCGCTCTGTGGGTGACAGCAGGCGGAAGGCCTCGCGGCAGTCCAGGCTAGACACACCGATGTCATTGGGCAGGATGTACTGGGCGTCCGCCATGGGCCCTGCTGAGAACCATCACCATCATCACAGCCATCATTTAGCACACACCTAGCTCTGCTCTCTTGTGGTCTCATTTAATCCTCCCCCAAAACCCATTCACCAGATATGCTAACTGAGGCTTACAGGTTAGGTGATTCCCCCAAGGATACTACAAAATACATCGGTGGGTCACATTTGGCCTGGGGCCCCTAAACCTTAAAGAATGAATTCAACTACCAGTATTACAGATGGGGAAACCGAGGCCCAGAGAGGTTAGAAGCTTTGCCTAATCACACACGGGAGAGATCAGAAGCTGAGACCCTCATCTCTAGACTCCCCGCGGGGGGGCCCTCAGCCTCCCCTCCTCCTTCTCTGACTTTCTGGCCTCCTCTTCAAAATTCTCCTGAATTCTGAATTCTTCAATTTCACCCACCACTGTGTTCACAGAGTTCCATGCTACCAGTTGGAAGACCCAGGTTCCAAACCTGGTTCAGCTCTAGAGTTCTAAAATCAAGTCAGTTTTCACTTTTCCGTGCCTCCGTTTCCACCTCTGTAAAATGGGGGTGATGATAACGCCAACCACACCGGGACGGTGTGCAAGCTGTCTCACTCTCATCCTTCTAACTACCTTTTCCTTGGCCCTCCATCCTCCTACCCTCTCCCTGTGCTCGGCCAGGAGCGGCACAGAGCCGCAGAAGTTCGGAGCTGGAAGAAAACTCATTTCACAGACGGCGAGACTGAGGCTTAGAGAGGCCAACAAACTTACCGAACTCTCACAGCCCCGTTCGGACCCAGGATCTCCCAATCCAGGGCATTGTCCATACCGCCCTCGCTTCCCCACCACTCCGGATGCTCCGCCCCAATAGCGCTAACTACCGCCCCCCCCCCCGCCTCCTCGGGTTAACTCTTTGCTGCCCGGAGGGTTCCTTGGCACAGGGGCCACAATGAATGTGGAAGGGGTACTCGATGGAAGACAGAAAAAGAATGATCTTGTGTTCGGTCCAGACTCGCTCTGTCCCCCGAGGACGACGCATTGTGACCCCAAAACCCGGGCGCCGCGCCTCACCTGCAGCAGCTGCTCGGATCGCAAACTCACTTCCTGCTTCCGGCTCCCCCATTCATTGGGGCTCCGCGAACTCCGCCCCCCGCGGCCAATTGTCGGGCCTCGGGGTCCGGATGGGCGTCAGCTCCAGCCAATAGGCGCGCCTAGGCGCAGTCCGTCGGCCCGCCTCTCCCCGCCCCCGGGCCCTACTGGGTCGCGCGGGGGCGGCCCCTGCGGCCTTGGCCTTTGTCAGCGAGGGCGCTCGCGCGGGCCCCTAGAATCTGAGTGGCTGGCCTGGCCGCGGCCTAGTCCCGGCAGACTGGGCTGACAAGGTCCCTCCGAGCCTGGACGGGGCGGTATGGGTGTTGTGTACGGAGCACAGGGACTCGCCACCCCCTCCCGAGTCCCAACCCGGCTCTGCTTCGGGTCCCCCACCTCAGTTTTGCAGGTGGGAACCTGCACAGTGGAAGTCATGTGGCCCCCTCTTCCCTACTGGAATCGAGGGTCAGGGGGTGGAGACGCTTAGGAGACCGACCCTACAGTGCAAGCTGCTGGGCTGGGGCTAAGGTGGTCACACCCTTGCGGGGACACGGAGAAACGCCCTCGAGTGCTTCACTGCCCTGCCATCGGCTCGCCAGGGGCCTGGGAGGCAACTGCTAAACATCTCTGAGCCTTTGTTTCCTCGGCTCTAAGGGGCGAGAGGCTGCGGGTGACCCCGAAAAGCAAAGCTGGGCCTGAGGTCCACTTTTGCACGTCTGGCTGGACTCACAGAGGGTGTCCTGGGTGGGGCATGGCGGGACAAGTGCTGGCACCAGGCCTGGGGTGAATGGGGAGCACTGTGAAGGTCCTGGGTCAGTGTGGGCAGAGCCGGGCCATCCGAGGTCGACTCAGCCTCCACTGCCTACTGGCTGTGTGGCCTTGGGTGGGACACTTTACCTCTCAGAGTCTTGGCTTCCTCAGCCAGAAAACCGGGCTGGGCTAACACTTGTCTTATCCCACTCCCACTCCGAGGGATGTTGTAATCCTGAGTGAAGTGATGAGTGGGCAGTCTGCCCCCTAGTGTTGTGCCCAGAGGGACTGGGGAAAGGGAATACTTGAAGTCCACATACTCTCCTTGCCATACTTGTGTCTACACCTGTCCACCATTGGCACTAGTTTCTCATTTATGAAAATGCCCAAGGCCCTGCTTGACACACCAGTACTTACTGTTGGCTCTGATGCTGATTATCATTACAAGGAGGAGCTCAATAAATCGGTCTATGTCCTTAGGAAAGTCACCCCTCTTCTTCCCTGTGCCTCAGTTTTGTCTTTAAGATGGGTACGTTTCCTTGACTTGAGCGAATTTGAAATGTGCACCAGTAAAGGAGGTAGTATTCTCCAGCCACCAGTGGGCAACTCAGGCTAGCAAAAGATCCCAGTACTCCTGGGACCCTTAACCAAGCTGTGTTCTTATGATCACAGTTAATAGGAGCACATGAGGTCCTGGGTTAGCAGCTTAACATGGAGGATGTTGCATTCTTGCAAAAACCCTGATAGGATATCATCTTATCGACAGCAGGAGGTGGGGAAATTGAGGTTAATAGGTTCCTTGACTTTCCCAAGGCCACCCAGCCTATCCTCAGGTGTCCCTGAACAGGAGACTAGCCTTACTGATACCTTCCACCACACCGTCCCCTCCACTTTCCCCAAAACACACACACACACACACACACACACACACACACACACACACACACACACAGTATCATACAGAGCAGTCCACTCACTGGAGTCATGACCATCCCTAGCCTTGGTTCCTCCCCATGGAAATGCAGGAGGGGTATGTGAGAAGGTAACAGTAAGTACCTACTGAGTTACAGGGGCTCTCTGTACAGTCACAATCACCTGGTGATGTAGTAACCGCTATTCCATTTAACAGGTGAGGGGACTGAGGCTCCAAGAACTGGAAAGGGGCAGAGCTGGGCCAAGTTCAGGACTGTATCACCCTCCACCACTACCTCCAAGTTCTCCCTAGGATGGTACTATGCTCTTTGCTTGTCTCTTCTCCCAGAGTCTAAGGTTCCCCGCTGGAAACGGGATTGGAACATTCCCCTGCCTCGTTCCCAACAGGGTCAGGAGAACTGGGAAGAGCTGGATTCCTAGTGGGGTGTGTGTGTGTGTTGCAGTCCTCCCACGTCCAGCTGCACATCCCCATCTGGGCACCCCCCCAACTGTGGCAGTGTGATGCCCTGGAAATAAGAATTCTCACCACATCCCCTTTTCACCACCCACCAGTGCCTTCTGTCCCTTAAGAGCCCTAGGTCTGGTCTCTGTGGTCCCCACCAGCTGTGTGGCCTGGGGCAGACCCCTCCCCTTGGAATCTGTACTCCCTAAGGCTCTAACAGCTGTCTTCAACTGGGGATGATGCCCGGGTCAGGCCTGTACTTAGAGCCTCGTTTTCAGATTTTTTGTATCTCCAGAATCTCCACCTGTCTCCCGAGCTTGCTGCCCCCAGGAGTGGCCCGGAAGCAACCCCAGCAGCACACTGAGGCTGCCTTGGCTCTCAGGGAGAAGTGACACTTAGCCAAGAGGAGTCGGGGTCCAGTTCAGACTTGGTCTCCATGGCAACCGAGGGCCACCAGGCCCCAGCCCAACATCCACACCCCTCCTTCCTCATGTCTGCCCCTCCAGGCCCAGCTCCTCTGTCGTCAAGCATTTTCCCTGCCGCACCTTTGCACATGCTGTTCCTCTTAACCTGAGCTGACTCAGGTTAACCTCCCGACTTCTTGCCCCACCCCCACCCCCCACCCCGTCCAAGGAAGGAAGCACAGTGCGATGGAGAGGAGGGCAGGCCAAGGCCAGAATTTGAATCCTTCCTAGCTGTATGACTCAGCGCGTGTGCCTTAATCTCAGAATCTTAGATAGAAATGGTAACACCTTCCTCCCTGGGTTATTGTAAGGATTAAATAGCAAAACCTCCTGGTTAGTGCTCCATTAACATAGTTACTAGCAGCAGCAGCACAGCAAGGGGCATGGTGGGCACTTGGTAATAGCAGCCTCTCTGTCACAGCCAGTGCTGTGAGAGTCCCCCCTTCCCTCTGCTCCTGACTGTCCACAAGTGAGGTTCTAAAGCCCCCTTCCAGCATCTTGGCCATCAGCGAAGCCCCAAACTCTTGCTCCAGCCTCCTTTCTGCCCCGTCCTCACTGCTCCAGCCACTCAACCCCCACCCAGCTCCCTGCTTCCTCCTCCCTGAGCCTGTGCTCAGCCTCCCTCCTGCCCACAGCACACGCCCCCTCCTGTGGGGAGTTCCCACTCGAGCCTCCCTCACCCTCCCGCCTTCTGGTAAGACCTGCTCCACAGCCTTTGACCATTCTCTGATCCTGGCACACAGGAAACTGTGCTGTCATTCAGTAATTTGGTCTGTCGTCCACTAGACTGTGAATTCCACCGGGCAGGGAACCAAGTCTGATTGTCTCTGTGTCCCCAGAGCCCACTTGGCGTACAGTCCAGCCCACAGTGGGTATCAGCAGATGCCAGTCCCAGCCTGCTGCCCACCCACCGCTCACGCAGGGGCTGGCGGCACTGCACTCATGCTGGACACGCGGGATTTGCGAGGGCAGCTGAGCAGCAAGGTTTATAGAGGAACCCAGGGCAGTGGCAGGGTTAGTATATCTGGAGCTGGGTCGGCAGGCTCGGGGCACAGCCAGCCTAAGCTGGGGGTCAGGGGCCCACGGCCCCTTCACTCCCCCAGGGACACAGTGTAGGCGGCATGATGTGGGACACCCCAGGGAAGCCCAGGACAGAGCTGGTGCTGAGGGCCCCATCATTATGACTGGGGGAGGGGTCTGGGGGACCGGAGTAAAGAGGGGAGGAACAGAGCCCATCCAACGCGTCTATCCGGTGTGCTATGTGCCAGCAGGTAGAGTCCCACATGCAGAGCTCCCTCTGGGCTGCAGAAGGTGGGGGACCGGGCAGCTGGGCCGTGGCAGCCAGGGCCCCGGGAGAGCCTAGTCCAGTGGCCCCTGGAAAATGAGGCGGACACAGCCATGCTCGCCGGTGAGCCAGGCCCCACAAAAGGGGCAGGCAGCATGGAAAGCATGGGTGCCATGGGGCAGTGGTGTCTGGGCCCAGTAGCGGGCAGTCTTCTCAGAGCAGACATGGCCGCAGGGTGCAAAGGCATGGCTGGGTGGTCCAGGGTCCAGACAGAGGCCGGCCTCCTGGCCAAGCCACAGGGGGACGTAGGGTCCCACGAGGCGACAGAGAGGACACTCACGCTCCTGGGGGCCCCGCTCTCTCCTGCAGCCCCAGCCGTGGTAGCCGTGGACGTGGCCACAACGGACGTAGACCCAGGGCTGCTGCTTGTCGGGTGCAGTGCGGCCACGGGCTGGACTGGGGAAGGCCAGGGTGCTGAGGCCCACAGGGCACTGGGGCCGTGCTGCGTTCGCCTCCTGCCGCTGGGCCTCCAGCTGCTTCAGCGTGGGTGCCCTCAGCAGCCCGGCTGGCGTGCGCCACAGCAGCGTGGCCCCACACAGGTCAATGAGGGAGCCGTCCTGCAGCACATTAGACTCGTTTTCCACCTGCCAGAGACAGCAGAAGGGCCTTACTGCCCAAGAGGCCCCCGAACTCCTGGCCGTTGGGCAGCCATCACCCCAGCCAAGCCACCTGTCCATCCCACTGAACCTCCCTGGAGAGAACACCCTGGAGCAGTGAGGCGGGCTGGGGCAGAGGGCCCAGGAAGCCTGAGAACCCATGTGGGAGGGCAAGTCAGTGCTCCCAGGCATGCGCTGTCCCTCCCGGTGGGTCGTGGGCCTTGGTCACTTTATCTGTCAGATCAGGAGAGCTGGACCAACACAAGATTTCCCCCAAGCTCTCCCCTAAGGGCAGAAGTGGGAAACTCTTCTATCTGAGACACACCAGGGGCTTCGCCCAAGGCAGCTGTCCTACCGGCTGCTGCAGTTAAAAGCCAAGATTCTAGAGCCAACCTGCCTGGGTGTGAATCCTGGCTTCGCTGTTTACTAACTTTGCATCCCTGGACAAGTAACTCAGCCTCTCTGTGTCTTAATTTCCTTATCTTCCAGATGGAGTCTGTATCCCATTATCTCAAGTGGTGCTTGTGAATCAATCAATGCAAACATCGGGAACAGTGCCTGGAACATAGTAGGTACTCAACAAGCGTGTGAAATATTCACACGCATCATCTTTAAAGATAACGTTTCTGCAAATCTCCCCATAGAATCGGTGCTCTGGAGAGAGAAGCTGTGCTCTTCCCTGAGATTTTGCCTTCTGCTTGCCGGGTGTGCTCATGCCCCAAAGGAGGTCTGTGAGGCCCGTTTGAGGCGCTTAGCCCCATGCCCTGGGGCAGGCCCCTACCTTCTCTCTAGGACTCTGTCCCAGCTCCTAACATTACTTCTCTGATCTGTGCCACGTGGAGCATTCACTGTCACCTCCATCAGAACTACTCCAGGGGCCCTTTCCTGCTAGTAGAGGATAAAGCTAAATCCGTCCGAACGTGAGAGACGCGTTACAAACTGCCAACACTCTGCGCTATATACGGCTCACACATGGGCCAAGTGTCATCCTCATAAGAGACTAAAGCCACCTGCTACTGCACAGTGCTTTTACGTGCATTTATCGCACCTCACCCCATGGACCTCCAGCAGTATGCGGGCTACATTTTGGAGCTGCTGGTCTGGTCCTCTCTGTGGGGCAAGTGGGACATGACCCCCAGATGAAGCCTGTTGGAGCTCCCTGTGTAGGAGGGCTGGAGGTCAGGGGGAAGGGGCTGGGAAGGATGGGGGGTTGGGGACGGAGCAGGCCACCTACCAGCTTCCCTCGCTGCTGTGCCGAGCGGCTGTCCCTCAGAGTGTACACATTCCCACAGACTGATATCTCCCTCCAGACACCCGGGGCCGAGTCCTCAGAGAAGCCGCCTGCTGGGTGCATCACGAGGACCCCATTGGTGGTTAAGCCGTCCATCAGGCCGTCGGGGGTCCGCCACTTGGCTGCCCGCTCCTGGGACCACACGTGGGATCAGACCATATCCCTGAGTGGCCCCCAGCAGGCCGCGAGCCTGGGATGCTGCTCTAATACCCTCACAGTCAGAGAGGTAGCCCACAGAGGACCAGAATGGGCGCTGCATGGCCACGGGCATCACCTGAATTCCTGGCGTCTCGCTGTGCTCATTTTTTTAAGTGGCGTTGCTAATGCCCGCATAGGTCATGGTTATGATGACTGCCCGCTGGTCCATCACCCCAGGACACTGCCCCTCCCCACCCTGCCCCTCTGCTCACTCTCAGATAAAGTGCTGGTCCCTGCCTGGGGGGCGGGGAGAGGGGCTCACTCACTCCAAGGAAGATGTTGCTGGAGGCATCAAAGCCAGCAGCATAGATGCGGGCAGTATAGGGCGGCCGGCGGTCACAGAGGATGCGGCAGGCATAGCGGGAGATGGTGCTCTGGGCAGAGGGGCCCTCAGCAGCCCCTCCTCCAGGCGATGTGTCCGTTACCACAAAGTCGATCATGTTCTCAGTGGAGCGGCCGATCTGTGAGGAAGAGGAGGGCGAGCACAGGGCTGCTGTGCACAGCCCAATCCCACAGGCTTCCTACCCTAGGGTTCCCAGTAGCTGCTCTACACGCAGGGTCACCAAACAGTGAGGAAGGGGCAGTAGCATCCCAACTCCCCAAGCACTCTGCACTCTCAGCTGGGGTCTCCAAGTCCAGTTGCTAGGATCTGGGGCTTCTCTGTCTCCCCCACTCAATAAAAATGAGTTGACTTTTTTTTGATAGATCAGTGTCTAGCCCATGGTAATACCCATGGTCTGGGAGTGCTCAAACATTAGCAGCAAATAGTGAATTTTCTGAATTTACTAGACACCGTGCTAAGCACATCATGGACAGTATCTCAGCTAATCTTCCCAATAATTCAATGGGGTGGGTATATTGTGGGCCCCACAGCACAGATGAGGAAACTGAGGCCCAGAGAGACTAAGTGACTCTTGCCCGAAGTCGCCAGCTAATAAGTGATGGAGCTGGGATCCGACCCAGGCAGTATGACTGTCGCACCGCACTCTGAACTCTTAAGTTATATGGCTTCCCGGGGCTTGGAAGTCTGGTCTTGGGTTTTAAATTTTGATATAGCCACTGATTTGCTGTGTGGCTCCAGGAAGTCAACAGCCCTCTCATAGGAAGCCCTGCTTCCTCATTTGAAGAGTAGTCGATTGCACTGAGTGCCCCCCCCCCCCGCAAAAAAAAAAAAAAAACACCCTCACCATGGCCTTCAGCCCTCCAGGGCTACCCTGGAATGCCTACAGTGCTGCACATTGAAGCCCAGTGGCTCGGCGGCCAAGAGGCTTGCAGAGGGGCCTGCGCATACCTGGAACATATCTGTGTCACTGTCGTGTGTGTACTCAACTATGACCGAGTGGCTCCGGGACAGTGTGTATGAGATGCTGTGCTGGCCACGGTTACTCAGTGCCTGGTGGGGAGAAAGGAGAAGTCACTTCCCAGGGCATGGGGCCAGGAGAAGTGTGAGCCTCTGAGCCAGGAGCTGGAATCCAAAGCCCACTGGCCAATCCCGGCAAAGGGGCAGCTCTGTCCTGTGCAGCTGGCACTGTACTCAGGTTGCCTTATCTGATCCCTACAGCCACCCCAAGAGGGAGACCTACCTATTATTCCCAGTTTATGGCTGAGGGAACTGCAGCTCCGGGAGAAGAGATTGGCCAAAAGTCACACAGTTGGAAACAGGAGACCATGTGTCTTCCCCCAAATCCTCTGAAGCCAAAGGCTTTTCCTTTGCCATTGCTGTGTGACTATCCCATCCCTTCTCTGAGCCTTTGGCTGCCTCTAAATGATGCTGATAATTTCCATTCAATGGCTGGGGTCTGGTTATCAAAGGAACAATCTGCAAGCTGTAGAGCGCTGTGCCCGCAGGGGATGCCCTCAGCACCACTTCCCTGGTAGCCCGAGGTATTGAGTGAGGACACAGGGGGCTCCCCCCTCCAGTAGGCCTGTGGGCAGTCAGGACTGGGAAGGCTGAGGACCTGGGATTTGGGCAGGGGGCACAGGACTTTTGTCCAGGTCTACTGAGACAGGCTGCTTGCCTTGGAGACGAGCGGTGTAGAGATGTGGTGCATGACGTCTGGCTTCACCCCGTTGGCATGGGGCCGGCGGCTCAGTGCCAGGCGGCTCCTCCGGCGGCCCTTGTCCCCACTTGCCAGACACCCATTGTAGCTGTGGATGTGGAGGGTTAAAAAGAAGGAATTTCAGGGAGAGAGAGAGAGAAAAAAAAGAAAGAAAGTGAGCCCCCAAGAGATTTGGAGGAACTTCTAGCTGCCGGGCAGATTCTACCATAACAAACACTAGAACCGTCTGAAACTAGAAGACCCTCCCTACTATATCATATCAGTGCCTTTGGGAAGTAGGGTGAGGAACAGAGTAGCTGCAAAAGACCTTTCATTCAATTAACCAGTGTTTCCTGGACGTCTGAGCCATGCGTGACCAGAGGCTGAGCGGTGGAGTGGCATCGGGGGCACACCACAGGTCAGTTCTGTGCCCACAGTGGCAGGGGAGCGGGGGTCCTGAGCTTTTCAAGGAACCTGGGCACCAACTGCACCACAGGCCCAGAGGCAAGAGAAGGGAATTCTGGCCTCAGATCAGGTTTCTAGAAGAGGGAACACCTTTACTGGGCCCTGAAGAACTGGAAAGTATTCACCCTTTATAGCAAACTGTCATTTATTACACCACAAGTATGACTGGAAACTAGAATGGAAGAAAAAACAAGAGGGGTGCGTGGGTGGCAGGGTTGGTTAAGCATCTAACTCTTGGTTTCAGCTCAGATCATGATCTTACAGTTCATGAGTTCGAGACTTGCATTGGGCTCTGCGCTGACAGTGCGGAGCCTGCTTGGGATTTTCTCTGTCTCTCTGTCTCTCCTTTCCTCTCTGTCTCTCTCCTGCTCACACTCTCTCTCTCTCTCTCAAAATAAATAAACTTTAAGAAAAGAAGAAAGAAAGAAAGAAAAAACAGACCCACAATGCCACCACCTCCGTATATCCATACATGTCAAACTTCTACCTTCCTTCCAGCTCTTTTCCAGAGGGAGTGATTGTGGAAGGCAAAGATGTGGTGAGTCACAGCCTTGATCGCTGCCATGGACTGGAGCCTCTCGTGTTCCTGGTGCTTCACGTTATTAATTTCCTAATGGAATCTGTGCAATGTCCTGCCAGGCAAGTGCCTTTCTTCCCATTTTACAAATGAGAAAAATTGAGGCTCAGGGAGGTAAATGGACCTGCCTGAGGTTCCAGGCTAGTAAGTGAAAAAGTCAGAGATTTGAACTCGGGTCGTCTCACTCCGGCCTTTCTTGCAGAAGCCCTTCCCAAGGGAAGGCTCACCCCAAGCAAAGGCCATGAGGCTGGCAGGGTTTGGTGAGATCAGGGAGTGGTGATTTGGGTGGTAAGCTATAGTAGAGGAAGATGAAGCTGGTAGAAGGACCCTGAACACCAAGCTTAAGAGCCTGGACTTTATTCTGGAAGACTAGGGAGCCATGGAAGGATCTGGAGCAGCTAGTCCCAGGATGAAGAGCTGCCAAATACAGATAAGGACCACTTGAATCAGTGCCTTCTCATGAGCTTATTAAAATACAGATTCCCTGGGGTGCCTGGGTGGCTTAGTCGGTTAAGCATCCGACTTTCGCTTAGGTCATGATCTCGCGGTTCGTGGGTTCGAGCCCCGCGTCGGGCTCTGTGCTGACAGCCAGCTCAGAGCCTGGAGCCTATTTCAGAGTCTGTGTCTCCCTCTCTCTCTGACCCTCCCCTGCTCACGCTGTCTCTCTCCTAGAAATAAAAAATAAAATAAAATAAAATAAAATAAAATAAAATAAAATAAAATACAGATTCCCTGGCTGTACCCATGGAGATTCTGATTCTGTAGGTTTCGGACAGGCCTGTCAATGAGTATTTTCAACGTGCTCTCCAAGTGGCTCTGTAACCAGCGTGGGGCTTCACTGCTCTACAGAGAATAAACAGCCGTCAAGAGGGGCTATACCCTTACGTCTGCGCTCTCCCCCATCAGTGGCCTCACCCTCAACTGGGAAGTCTGGTCTTCCTTTGGGCCACCAAGCAGCTGCTCTTATCATGCAGGCATCCCTTAGAGGGGAATCACTTTTGCCCTGTAAATTCTTCCCACCTATGGGGTGTGGGGCAGTTCAGGACACGGGCTTGGGGCTCAGATGGGCCTGGCTTAAATTCTGGCTCTTCCACTTATCACCTGACCTCTGTAAAATGGTGCTAATTCATCAGGACCTACCCCGCAGTTTCACTGCGAGAACTAAATGAGATAAAGCATTTAAAAAATGCCTGGCACAAAGTGCAACAGATATACAGCAAGCCCTTGATAAATGTTCACAATTATTATTAGGAAAAAAGCACATGGCGTGTACATGTCAGCAAACAGTAGCCACTATTATTTCTAAATAATCATAATGACAGCAGAGCTTATCAAATATTTCCTTCAGGGCACACGGCAGAGAGAGAGGTCACAAGGGGGTGTGGATGGGGAAGGAAGAAGAGTGATCTGTGCCTGGGGGCAGAGCTAAGTGGCTGGTGCAGGGATCCTGGTCAGGCAGAGACCAGGAAGGGATGCGGTTTACCCAACCACCACCAACTCACATCGCTTCCTCTCTCCTGGCCTTGGTTTTCTCATCTGTAGCGTGAGGTCGGCTGTGGCTTAGTGACAGTGCACTAGACCTGGAGTAAGAAAGACCTGGGTCCAAATCCCAGCCCTGCCACTTACCAGCTGTGTGCCCTTGGACCAGTCACTTCCCCTTTCTGAGCCTCGGTTTCCTCACCTCCTTCCTCACAGCATCTTTGTGAAGATTGAAATGAAATAATGTCCATGAAAGGGCTTGGCACAAGCCTGCCTCCCAGAACACTTGATCTGTGCCAGGCACTGTTCTACGTGCTTTACAGAAATCACCTCATTCATTCCTCCTAAAACCCTCTGAGGTATCATTACTATCCCTGTTTGTAAGATGGGAAAATGGAGGCACAGGGAAGTTAAGCTACTTGCAGAGGCAGGATTTGAACCAAGCATTTTTGCTGGAGAACCAGAGGTCTTTACCCCAGACTACATATACTAGGTGCTTTATGAAAGGCAGAGGGTGCTACTTTTTTTCTGATTGGAAACTTAGGTGGGCAGGTAAGAGTTTTCTCAGCAATTTATTTTAAAAAATGGGAAGATAAAATAATAGGAATCAAGGTGGGTTTGGTCAGCTCTGTCTCTCAGCTGGGAAGGTGAGGCAAGACAAACAGCAGAAGGTCATATGTGGGGAGAGCTGGGGCCTTTGGTCTGGTTGCCCTGGGGGATGCCTGGTGCCCTGCCCCACCTGGGCGGGGGTTGCTCACCCCAAGACGATGAGTTCGCCATACTTGATGGGCTCCTCGCCTGGCTGCGCATCTTCACCAGGAGAAGAGAGGACACAAGAGCTCTGGGTCCCTGGGTGCCCGAGGTCTGAGGTTCGGGGAGACCCCACTTCAGGGTTTCCTTCTAGCACCATTCTGGGCAGCGTGGGAGAGGAGAAAAAGAATTTTGCAGCCTCTCATCCCAACCCCCATCAAAGCCAGCTCAGGCCTGCTGCCAGGGCCACCTAGGCAAAGGCCAGAGTGACCTTTCACCACCTCTGTTGCTATGGCAACCACTCCACCTCTGCCTCCTTTAAACTGCCCCGGGGTTGCTGGGATACCGGGGAAGGGCCCCACGATCAGAGGGTCAGAATGTTTGGTGGGGCCAGAGGTGTGGACCAACTTGGGGTGACCAGAGGCTTCTTTTTGGCTAGGACCCCAGAGTCTGGGATGTGCTTGGAAGAGAGACACTTCAAGAGTTAGAGGACCCCTATTCATCATCTTAGACTCAGTTTCTGGGTTTGGCTCTTGGCCCCGGGGCCTCAGAGTAACCCTTCCGTCGGGTTCTTGGAATCTATCTGTCTTAATCATTCAGCCCCTTTGCAGGTCTGGGCCTCTGTCTGTCTGTCTTTTTCCTCAATGACTCTCTGTCCTCCCGGGGCTGTCCTTTTCGCCGTCTCTCTTCCCACCCTCCTCCTCATGTCCGCCTGTCTGGCCACCTTGCCCTCCCCATCCATCTGCCTCAGTCTCCCCATCTTGGCTTCGCCGGGCGGGCGGGCCTCTGGACCCCTCCCGGGTGCGCGCCACCTCCCTCCCTCAGGTGTCTGTCTGCAGTCCCAGGGCCGCCCGGGTCTCTGGAGGCCTGTGGGGGCGGCGCTCCCCCCTCCGGCTGGGGCTGCAGCAGAGCCAGTCTCCGCAGGAAGCCTGTTTGGAAAACATGCCCGCGCAGGAGGGACTGCGCCGGGGCAGGCCCGCGCCCCGCGCCCGGGGCAGGCACAATGACGGCCCAGCGCATACGCAGATACACAGCCGGCGGCCCCTCGCCACAAACACGCGCGCGCACGCACACAGTCCCGCACACCCCGAGCCCCGCGGGCAGTGCCCGGACGGGCGCAGAGCCCACCTGGGACCCGCGAGCGCGCAAACAGCCCCCTGCGCCAGCCCTCGGACCCACTCCCCCTGCCACCCTCAGACACGCAAACACGCCCCCCGCGCCTGCCGGGGCCAGCCCGGCGCAGCCCCCGCCCCCTCCGCCCCAGCGGTCTCACCTGGCCGCGCTCCCGGCCCCGCTCGGCGCCGCTCCCTCCGCGCCTCGCCCCTGCTCGGCCCCCGGGCCGCTGCGGCGGGATGGGCCCGGCCCGCGGCGGCTCCGCGCTGCCTCGTCACGGGGACACCCGGGGCCGGGGGAGGGGGCGAGCGCGAACCGCCACACTCCGCCCCTTGTCCCGAGGCCCCGCCCCTATATCCCCGCCCCATCCTAGACTCCGCCCCTTGCGGCGAAGCTTAGCCCTAGTCAACAGAGCCCCGCCCCTTCTTGGGAGACCACGCCCCTCCTTAACCACGCCCCCGAAGTGGGAAGCTCCGCCCACACTCTGTCTCAGGAACTCCCTATCCCATCTTCACTGGTTCGGGGACTCCCCTGTATCTGTGAGACCCATACCCCCAGTTCAGGCTTCCCCCCAGACCCCGCACTCATTTCTGGGGACTTCCGGGTTCTCCCAGAGACACGGGCGCCCCCTCCCCCACCGCAAGCCGGGGTCTTTGTACTGCGCGGAAGGCCCCTTTCCCCACCTTGGGCGGGGGACTGTACACCTGCTCTCCGCAACCCCCCCCGCCCGCCACCCCGAGACCCCGCTTCCCATCTGGGGTAGCCGCAGAATTAGAGAGAAGCGGAGGCGGGAAGGAGAGAAGGAAAATACTAGAGGAGTCGGAGGAGGGGGTGTGCATTCGCAGGGAGGCTGAGGGAAAATGCTACAATTGACTAGACTCGCAGGCCTGTCTTCAGCCCCGCTTCTCCACTCTCTCCACTCTTTTCGCTGGGTTGCCTCAGGCCGGCTCTAGACCCCCGGATGTCGGGGAACACCTCTCTCTTTCCCGCCAGCACGCACACCATACCGGAGAAGCCAGAAGGGGGGCTTTGAAGGGTGCAGTTCCTTCTGGGCCTGGGCTTGCAAGAGATTTGTCAATCTATGCCAGGTGTTATGCTCTGTGCTTTGAGCAAGATAAACCCTTTAATTTCTAGGAGGTAGGCACGATAATCACCCATTTTACAGGTGAGGAAACAGTTGTACAAACCTAACTTGGTCGTGGCTATCTTGCTAGTAAGGGGCCAAGAATAGGTCTCAGCTGTGGGACTTCAAAATCTGGACTCCTAACTTCTATTCTTTACCTTGCTGTTTTGGTGAGGAATGGCAGGATGGGACTCAGAGGTGCAGAGCAGGAGAGACCCAGAGATGCATCAGATAAGATCCCTATGGCACATTATTTCTCAGTATGTTTGGAACCATAACCAAGAGCTGGGGGAAGACCAGAGAGTAGACCTTTAACCTGAGTCTTCGGTGCACTTGAGGAAATCAAGGAAGGCTGTGCAGAGGAGGCGGTCTTTGGCCCCAGTCATGAAGGAGATTGAAAGTTTGCCCACACATTCCTGAGAGAGAGAGCAATCTTCCTGCTCGCCCCTCATCTTGTTGCTTGCAAAGCTCCCTGTCTCCTGGACTACTCCTGGGCCCCACCACATCCACACACCCCACTAACTCCCCCACCTAAAAATAGCCCATGATACCAACTGCTTTGCCAACTGTTTGGGGGCCCTAGCAGCCGGATGAAACATGAAGGCAGCCAGCAGCACGTCCTTTAGGGACAAAGGCACTCATTAATCAAAGAGAGGCTCTCTGAGAGGCCACCACCAAGGAGGCTGGACTGCCGGGCTGTCAGCAGCAAATCATGCAAATCCTGCACCACAGGAGAGCTCCCTTCCCTGAATGCCTGCAATATGCCCACCTCCATGCCAGGTATGCACAGCCACCATGGGACACAGGGACACTGGGACAGTCTCACTCCCCTTTGCGTTCCCAGTTTCCAGCACGTTGCCTGCCAGAGAAGGCCGTCAGTGAACACATGTTCAATAACCGCTGGAATCTCCAGGTCACAGATGAGGAATCTGAAGCTCAGGGGATGGGAGAAGAGATACTTGCCCCAGGTCACACAGCCAGTCAAGTACATAGCTGAGGATTGATCAGAGCCCCAGTGCTACCATCTGACACCAGACTGCAGGGAGGAAGGGCTGAGAGAGATTGCAGGGTACTGCAGGACTCAGAGATTTCTCCTGTGGTTTAGTCCGCTGGCACCAGACCTTCATGCAGAGCACAGCCAGACCACAAGGGGCCTCCGGAAGCCTGGGGTGGGCTTGGCCCCAGCATCGCCCAGGTGGGGGCGAGGAAGAGAGAGTTGGGCCACTGCCAACAGACACAAGTGCCCAACTTCCAACCTTGACTTCTGGCTCTGTCTCCAGAACTCCAGCTTCTCAATCTCCCTAGATCTCATCTTCCTTATTTATGAAATGGGAACAATAATAGCACTTACCTATGGTGGGATAAAAATTTGCAGTATTTTTGAAATCAACCCCTCCCTTCTTTCTCTTCAATCTAGATCTTGACCTTATTGGAAAAAGAAGTAACAAATAAGGAACAAGACACAATCTTTATTTCTTCAGTTCTTGGGTTCAGCTGTCTGAAGACGAGGGACAGGCATAAGCAGTTTGGAAGAATATTTGTGTATCTATTTCCGAAAAGATGCTGAAAACAGCAACAGCAGCAACAAGGAACTCTCTGGGCTGAGAGATTTGGAGAGGGGAAGGAAGGGCCAAAGATGCTGAGCTCTGTCTTTGAGGCCCTGTTGTAAGTGGGAATGGAAGCTGAGAAAAGATTGAACCCTCAGGTAGATTCAGGGATCCAAACCCTATTCCTTCAAAGAGTCCAGATTTGATTGGATCGGTTTATGGAGCAGTTTATGTCCCAGGACATTCATTGTTGAAAACAACAGAGGACTCAGTTGGCCTTAACAGCAGGGTGTAGCCAGGAAAAGACTCAGTCAAAGAGAGCCCTACCCAAACCACTGTCATCCCAGGGTGACTGTAGGAATACCCAAGGCTGCACTTCCTGAGGACCAATGACAGGGGCTTTATATTTAGACTGTGGGAAGGAGGGGATAGACTTCACTAAAATAATCCATCCAGTCACTAAACAGACAAATAACAATAACAAGCCCTGGAGGGGGTGGACTACTACCGAGTTGCTACACTATATTAATTAAAATCTTCAGTTTCCAACAAAAAAAAATACAATTCATGCAAAGAAACAGGAAACGATAACCCGTAGACAGAGACAAAAGCAGGCAGGTGTTATCCAGATGTGGGGAATCTGGCACCTTCACACACTGCTCACGGGAATGTAAAATGGTGCAGCTGCTTAGGAACAGTCCAGCAGTGCCTCAAGCAGTTAAACATAGAGTTACCACATGAGCCAGGAATTCCACTCCTAGGTGTATATCAAGAGAAATTAAATGTTAGAAATAAAAATAAAGAAAGTCAATTGCACAAAAATCAGAAAAATCAGAAAGGTGATCATAATTGGGCGGGAGCACATGGGAAAGCATTAGGGTGCTGTCCAGGGTGCTGTTCAGTTTCTTGACTGAGTGATATCACCTGGGTACTTGTTTTCTAACAGTTTGGTAAACTGTATATTTATGTTGTATAAGCTATTTGTTTGTTTATGATATTTTACAATGAAAAATGTTTAAAATAAGATGTGGTGGTTCAACCAAACCCTCACAGTCTGCGATTTGAACCGGCAGGGACTTGTTCCAGCTGAAACTACAGTAGTTTTTCTTTTCTTTCTCTCTTCTCTCTCCTCTCTCTCTCTCTCTCTCTCTGTTCCTTGATGGACATTAGTAAGAAAGACTTTTTTATTGTGATCCAAAACACACACACAGGCACACAAGGGAAACACAAGTGTTATGAGACAATACATATCTTTACTGCATGCAATGTACTTGGTTATTTTTTCTCCTCTATTTTATTTCATTAAAAATGTTGGTTGGATTCATGAAATCAATTTAATAACCCACTGATAGGCCACAATGCTAGCTTTTAAAAAGTCTTGTCTAGGGGCGCCTGGGTGGCTTAGTCGGTTAAGCGTCCGAATTTCGCCTAGGTCATGATCTCGCGGTTCGTGGGTTCGAGCCCCGCGTCGGGCTCTGTGCTGACTGCCGGCTCGGAGCCTGGAGCCTGTTTCGGTCTGTGACTCCCTCTCTCTCTGACCCTCCCCTGCTCACGCTGTCTCTCTCTCTCCTAGAAATAAATAAAACATTTAAAAAAATTTTTAAAAAAATTAAAAAAAAATAAAAAAGTAAAATAAAAAGTCTTGTCTAAGATCAAGATGGCAGCAGCTCTGGTTTCTCCTGAGGCTTCTCTTCTTGGCTTACAGATGGCCACCTTCTTGCTGTGTCCTCACATGGTCTTTCCTCTGTGCATGTCTGTGTCCTGATCTCATCTTATAAGGACATCAATCAGATTGGGTGAGAGCCCATCCTAAAAGCCTCATTTTAACTTACCTCTTTTAAGGCCTTATCTCCAAACACAATGACATTCTGAGGTACTGGTGGTTAGATCTTCAAGATACTACTTTGGAAGGAAGATCATTTAGCACATAACAGGCAAGACTTCCTGAGGGATAGGGAAGCAGGAGGAGTCAGGAGGAGAAGGGAGAAGAAGTGTCCAAGCCTGTACATCTACAAACAGGGAAGAACAAGCAAAATCAGGGCATCAGGGGACTGTGCACTCTGTGGTTGGTCAGAGGGTGAGGTAAGTAGTATCAGGTTGGAGAAGGTGGCAGGAGATAGCTCCAGGGCCTTGGATCCCATACCAAGCTTTGGTTTGTAGAGTGATGAGTCTTAGCAAGATCTCCTGGGACACTGGAGAGAGATCCCAGAAAGCTGAACTTTAAGGAGTGTCTTAGATGGAACAAGACCCACACTCTGGGAAAATAAGCTGTAGGTATCATTGACAAGTTTTAGACAGGGGCCTAACACTGGATGAGTTGAAAATGATAGACTAGAAGGGCAAGAATGGAGGCAGAGAGGTCATAATGGGGGGCTGCCCTGAGTTTCCAGCCAAGAAAAAATGACGTCTGAACTGATAATACTAATAGTAGGCTTTCATAGAATGCTTACTATATCTCTCGAGCCAGGCCTGAGCTAAGTACTCTGCCAGGTAATCATGTTAAATTATCTCAACAGTCCTGTGTACTAGGTACCTTTATTATTCTTATTTCACAGTGAAGAAGCCTGAGGCCCAGAAAGGTGAAGAGACTTGCCTCAAGTTAC